ATATATATATATATATTTATGTTGGACCAAACTGTAATTATAGTTTGTGGCTATTATGTAATTAGGCCTTTCTTATGTTTGTATATATTTTCCCTATTTCATTTTAGGGTAATGGAATGAGAATATGTATATTGCAGCCTCCATCAGTCTCTCTCTCATTTAGTTTCTACAAAAGCATTAGATTCTGCTTTGATATCATTAAACAAGCTAGGATTTACAATTTCTACGTTTTGATCATTAGAAATGTGCTTAGAATGCATTAAAGTGTTTTTGAATCAAATTTTCTAAGTCTTAGTATACTTTATCTTTTAGAAGGCATACTAGTCAAGAAACAACATGTCCACTAAATAACCGTGAATATGGATGTTAGACAAATGGAAGGATAACAAAAGGAATTTTGAGAAGTAATAGGTACCATTAATCAATGTTAAGATGAGGGCAAATTGCATTAGTTGCAACCTGCATGTGAAATGAAGTTCAACTACTTCAATAGTAAGGATTAATGACTCTAATTCTAGTTGAAAGCATTAGATTCCGCTTTGATATCATTAAACAAGCTAAGGTTTACAATTTGCACGTTTTGATCATTAGGAATGTGCTTAGTGTTGTCAGGGGCTTATTTGTTATTACTATATAATGTTGGGGCTTATGTGTAATTTATGAAACTTGTTATCATAAATAGAATGTGGTGGAAGGATGAAAGTATTCTTTCATTCTTTCTCTCTTTCCGTATTTTCTCTCTTTTTCTCTCATTTGCTTTCTTCTCTTTTTCTTCTTTATCACTTATTCTTGGTTTGATTATATCTTAAAGTCAACATGGTATTAGAGCCAAAGGTTTCGAGTTCAAATCTCACCGTTACCCTAATTAAAAATTGAAAAACATGTGTTGGACCAAAAAGAAGGCCACACGTAAGGGGACATGTTGAAGGATATAAATATTAAAGTTACACTATCTCTAACAGCTTAAGCTTTTGAAGTAGATGGTTGTTAACACGGTATCAGAGCATTTGAGATACGAGCATGCCAGGGTATAAGTGTTAGGCAGGTATCCAGCCCCTACTTCTATTAGAGATGTATTTTCATATATCCAGTCTGAGGAGAGTAGAATGAAGGCTATGTCTGCACCTGTATACACTAAGCCTGAGCCAGAAGTACCATTGTCTGAGAGGTCTGCTCTTGCCACACAACAATGGAACAAGCCCAATCCTCCAAAAGGAGGGAAGTAGGATAACAAGAGCAAGTTGAGGTGTAATCACTGTGGGCGTATGTGCCACACTAGGGAAACATGCTAGAATCTACACAGTTGCCCTACTCCAGTTCTTGCTCATGCGAATGCTAGGCCAAGGCCTAGTCAATTTAGGGGGTTATCTGCGGCACATACTGCAGAGCGCGAGACTACTTCTACTGGTCATGCCTCCTCTGGGCCATCGAGTTCTTTGTCTGGGGCTGAACTTGATGCTCTCCCACATCTACTAGCACAACATTCCTCCATTTCCACCTCGAACTTCGCTCAGACACATACACCTCACCTTGAGGCAGCTCATCATGTTCTTCGGCTCTTCGCTACCTCAAGGGTTCACCTGGTAAGGGGATATTGTTTGGCAGTCATGGCCACTTGCATGTTAAAACCTATACTGATGCTGATTGGGCAGCATCTGTGATAGATTAGATCGACGATCTATTTTAGGATATTACACATTTGTTAGAGGTAATCTTGTTTCATGGCGAAGCAAGAAACAGTCTATAGCAGCTAGATCTAATGCAGAGGCTGAGTTTAGATCCATGACACATGGAGTTTGTGAGTTGTTATGGCTACGTACGATGTTGGGTGAGTTGGGTTTTCCTGTTTGCGAGTTAATGTAAGTTGTATTGTGACAACAAGGCTGCTATTAACATTGCCCACAATCCAGTTCAACATGATAGGACAAAGCACATTGAAGTCAATCGACACTTCATCAAGGAAAAGCTTCGTCTTGGGTTGATTTGTATTCCATACGTCAACACACATGATCAGGTTGCTGATGTTTTGACTAAGGGTGTGAGCAAGACTTGCTTGCAAGATATGTTAGTCAATCTGGGCATGATAGAATTCTTTGCACCAGCTTGAGGGGGAATGTTGTCAGGGGCTTATTTGTTATTACTTATATAATGTTGGGGCTTATGCGTAATTTCTGAAACTTATTACTATAAATAGAATGTGTGGTGGAAGGATGAAAATATTCTTTCGTTCTCTCTCTCTTTCCCTATCTTTCTCTCTTTTTCTCACATCCGCTGTCTTCTCTTTTTTTTCTTCTTCTTTATCACTTACTCTTGATTTGATTATATCTTAAAGTCAACACTTATAATGCATTAAAGTGTTTTTGAATCAAATTTCCCAAGTGTACAATTACAGGGGGTTCGATCAATCGCACAATCTCTCGGAACTCATTAAACTAGGTTTAATTAATCAAACCAGTCTTCAATTGCTTGAAACCTGCGGGAAAGCAGCTTCCAGTGCTGTTTCAAACTCTAAAAACCCTGATCCCTTTCACCTTCTAAGGTTTATAAAAGGCCCCTATGGCTTTAAAAAACTACACTGAGCATGCATAGAGTATCATATAGCATTGAGAGACTATACTTGAATGCATCCTAGAAATACAGTCGCTAGATTTTTGTTTATTTAATTTATCATCATTGAATATAGATGGTGAGTGGCTTTGAGTGTTGACCATACAAATCCTAGAGCTATAAAAAATTCAACCCCTCAGCGAAATCCGACACGACCATTGAAGTTTGGATAACTAGTCAAGGATATTGAATCACAAGTTGAAGAGCAGATTGCGTGGAGTGTGGATTCATTGTCTGGCAGACCAGACTACAAGGAGAACGTTCTGTGTGATTCCTAGCTAGAGGTGGCTTACGTGATTCTAGAGTTAGAATATTTTTTTTTGATAAATGATTCTAGAGTTAGAATATGATACCTGGGATAGGAAATAAAGGAAGGCCATTTTGGTAATTTCATCAGTCAACTAACAGTTCTGTGACAATTTGTCCTTATATGAAACTTTTTTGTAGTATAGGGAGTGGTTTGATAGTATAGAGGGTAAAGTGTCAAGAAATGAAAGTAGAGGGGTGTTTTGCGAATTAAATTCTTATTTTTTAACCCCTTAATTTAGTGATTAGCCACTTCATTCACATCTCAGTTTACCCTTTTTGTTACAACCAGTTTGTGATCTTTGCCGTGTTTTTTTCTTCTTGGTCAGTGTCTTTACCGTACTATTTATAGTCTTATAGAGGTGCCTTTGCTTGGTTTAAGAAGTTTGGCCAGGCAGTTTGTTAGTATATATGATAGCCACGATTTATGGAATGACTTACCATAATAGCAGAGATTTGATTATGCATATGTTAGCATATATGATAGCCACGATTTATGGAATGACTTACCATATTAGTAGAGATTTGATTATGCTATAGAATATGCCATAGAATATCCTGTGATTTGATTCAGTTTCCTTTCTTGTAATATGAGCATGTGCTCTTTTTATCTATAAATAAGTGATTTATATCTCATTCAAACCTTTTTCATATTCTCTCCTTTTTATATTTCTACTCAGTTCTATGAGATGTCAGCTAGTTCTCTTGGTCATGCTGGACAAGGTCATGCATGTTTAAATATGCATCTCTCTCTCTCTCTCGCACATACACCCCCACATTCACGCATTTACTTTGTCAAAGAGCACCTCTAGGTTTAGTTTTAGATGAAGTCTTGGTTTTCTTTGTTACTTTTCTAAGTATAAGAATCCATGGTTTTTACAAGGGGAGTCTTGTCCCACATCAGATCTGGATGGGAAGTGAAATCGGTATAAATGGGTTGCGTGTTAGCCCTACCTAATAGCTTAAGCTTTTGGGTCGGATTGTGAAGCACCTGACCCGTTATAGTTGGTATCAAAGCCAAATCCAGTCCTTGATCCTGTGTCACGCCAAGCGGCCAGCTTGGAGGAGTTCGGATGAGCCCACCCGGGTAGGCAGGGTGCCCGACCGCAACAAGGGCGTTGCGAGGTTGGATGGGGAGAATGTTACAAGAGGAGTCTTGCCCACATCGGATCCGGATGGGAAGTGAAATCGGTAGAAATGGGTTGGGTGTTAGCCCCACCCAATAGCTTAAGCTTTTGGGTCGGATCACGAAGCACCCGACCTGTTACAGCAATCTCATAACTTATCAGATAATTTACTCAATCTTTCATACTTGCTGTCAGATACACATCTTCCATCCTTCTTATCTTTGTAAAGAAATGTATAATGTTGATAGATTGTGGAAAGTCACTTCCTACATATGGGCTGTCAATTCCTTGCTAGTTTTATTGATCATACATTGCTAGCTTGACATGATTTATGCTAATCCTATAGTTATCAGCTTGTTATTGCTCTTCGTTCTCCAAATTAGGTAACTGTCTTGTGCATTAGTCCATGTATTTTGTCTCTTCAGCACATGTGCTCTTGTCTACTTCTTCAATGCTTACACTTCCTGGCAATGTTGTAGGGTGTTGGCAGGAGTGGTTTTGGTTCTGGCCCTTCTGAGTGTAGATAAGGTTCTGGTGCAGATCTAACTTCCACATTATTTGTGGAATGTGGCTGCACTCATAATCAAACCTACATTCTTACACTTGACGAGCAAACTTTATTGTGGCAGTTAGTTTGCTACCTAGAGCTCATGCAATTTGACCTTTCACAAGTGAATGTTAACTCTCAAGATTGATTGGGATGGTGGTGGTCATCATCATCTTGCCAGGATGTTTTTTTTGCTCTATCTACCTTCTACACTTTAGCAAGTCGTCATCTTTTGATATTACATACAATTTTACTTGGTGTATTTTATAATTAATGTTAAAATTGAGATACATATAATGGCTTTGCTATCACTACAAAAAAGTGCGCCTTTTGACTCTAATACTTGGTGTTGATTAGCATATCTCCCATATGAATATTCCAGTTAATGATGATCGATGATAATCTTTTGCTAGGTAAATGGGAGGCAAGTTCCCAAGGTACAAGGGATAAGCTAGTTTCCCCTACTAATTTGAATGTTTTAGAGGATCTGCATGCTAAATACTTGAAGATGGACCTAAATTATAGTCCTCAGGTGAGCAATAACTGAAGCTGAAACAAAATGTTAAAATGAGTGTTCGATAAGAAGTTTCAAAGTTTTAAGAATGCAATATATAGCTTATTTACTTTTCCATGTTGAGCATATACATGTCATTTGGTTAAGTTTTTGTGATAATTTGGTTGTGGATGATATATAATAGAGTTAATTCAAGTTTACTTTTTGGTGCAAGAATTTGCAGGATTGTTTCATGCAGCTGGAAAGGAAATCGCTAATATTTGTTTTCTTCTCTCTCGCTCTCTCTCCTTTTATTTTTCTTTTTCTTTTTTTCTTCATAAGAAACTTCTCCATCTCATAAAAGAAAAAGAAAGGTACAAAAGAAGGATGGCAAATTTATTCTAATAAAAAGCAAGAACAGCCAACAAAAAGGTCAAAGACATTTGACATTGCAAGAAGAAAGACAAAAAACGGAAAAAGGAGAGAGAGAGAGAGAGAGAGAAGAAAAAAGAAAAAAGAAAACAGAAATCCCTAACAGATCATGAATGCACTAAAGCTTGAAAAGATATGTTGGGCTTTTATTTTGTTAATGACTGAAGATTTTAAAATTGGTGGGTTCTTAATTGGTGTATTTTGGTTTGAACAATTCTTGAGGACCTCATTGATAGCTCTGAAGGTTGTGCTGGAGGAAGTTGTAGTTGTGGTACTGCTCATAGAGATGCATGAAGATTTTGTGTTGTTCTATCTCTTTTTATGTTTTTATGTGGATCTACCTAGAGTTTTCTATTCGTGTTTACATATTCGATTTAGCCTATATGTTTAGGACACATATTTTGTACAAGTCAATAGGACTTGGTTGGAGTTGTTATATCTATTGGTGTAATGTAATGATTGTTTATGTTAATGAATCATCGAGTTTATTAACTTGAGCTCTCCAATTTTATGTTTTTAATTCCTATTTTTTTCTTGTGACAAAAAGGGGGAGAACTAATGGAGAATGCATACATGGCATACATGCTTTTAGTTTCACACACATTACACATGCTTGATTCTTTGGTTAACCTTGATTACTTAATTGCTTAATGTGTTGATTGATTGATCTACTTTAACTTTGATTGCTTGAGGAAGACATCTTAGTTATGTTTTTCCCTTGAGGCTGAACCCAACCCTACTTTTTATTTGATCCCTTAAGGAACTTGCTGTTCGTAGTAACAAAATCTATTGCATTAACTGTAAGGAGGTAAAATTGGCAGTATAGATCTCATTACAATGCTTTTCTGTATTTTGTGAAACCGGAGCTTAGTTTCAGTAGGAAAATGCTTCTTGAATTACATAAATCATATTCTTTGTTTATCTTTTAACCTTCTTACTATGACGTGGATCCCTTTTTTTGAAAAATAGTTTATCCATTCCTGAGCTGTTCTACTTCAAAACACTTTTCAAAAGCTATTGTGAAAAACAGAACTTGGCTCAAGCTTCTTATGTTGTTTTGATGGTTTAGTGAGATTGGACTTGGGGCAAAAAAAAAAAAAGTTGAACTTGGCTCCAGTAGTACTCCTTGGGACTTGATATTGTTCATACTCTTCAATCTCTTATGTTACTTCTTTCTGTTTGATATACAAGCACTTCATATTCTATGTAATTTGGTCAAGATCTTTTGTTGCTTATATGAATCTATTTAAGCTCTTTCTATAATCTTCCATTTATATAATTTTCTTTACCTATGAGGATTTACTAGTTTTTTTGAACTTGACTGGGGATTAATTGGTAAGTTGAACTATATTATGCTTCCAATAGTAGTAGTTAGTACTGATTTTAACTGGTGTTTGATTTTGTTTACAGCAAACGCATGGTAGCCAAGTTACAGTCGTGATAGCGTCAATGTCCTCATATTTCTTCTTCAGAGGGATGCAATTAGGTTCCACCAATACAGTGATGAATCTGGTCCAAAACTTACTATATTGTGTAATTAGAACATTTGCTTCTGCAAATTTGCCTTTCGCATGTATGTCTAGTTCCTTGAATAAACCCACCCCTCTTCAATTGGATGTATCTTTGCCTTCATTGCAAGATATTAGATGGAGCTTTGCACGATTACTTTATCTATTCAACATGCAACTTGAGAGAAATGTTGCCACGTAAGTGAAACAAATATGCTGTTTATTGCTGTGTTCCCTTCACTTTCTCTCCAATTTTATGTGGTGTTAGATGATAAAATATCAACATTGCGTCATTAGATGTATATGATATTGCTGTCAAAATATAGAATATGTGGTGCTCTATTATCCCTTGGAAGTAAAGATGGGATGGCATATGACCTTATTACATGATATTCAATGAACTAGTTGTTATCCTATTCCATGCAATAAAGGTTGCCTGTTCTGTAACGGTAATTTTTTTTTTTTAATGTTCATGCACTTACCAGACATCAGCATTGGAGACAAATCCTACATGTGTATAGCAAAGTAAATATTGTGTGATAGATTAGTTTCTTTTATTTATTTATTTTTGGTGTTAGGTTACTTCAGCATTATTTCGTAAATTGTTTTTCTATGTTTTATGTCATTATTCTTTTGACCTTGAGTTCATTCACAAATGTTAGTATCATTTTCTGGCCATTTATTTAGATTCGATTTTTTTTTTCTATTTCTTTTTAGTTACAAGGACATAGGTAACAATAATCCATAATTTTCCTTTGGTTGAGTGCATAGGATTTTCTTTGAGCTCCTTAGAGGAAGGATCAGTTGAATGGAATTTTTGGGCTGCAATCTTTAACAAAATCATTGAATCCACGGAATTAAATCACGTTTATGATTCCTATTTCCTGATAGGCTAGCTCTTGCCTTTTTGAAGCATAAAGATAAAAGGTGAAAGTGAAAAGGCCCTTTCTCCTTTTTGATTGCATGACACACAAAGCAGAAGACAATAAAGTAAACATTGCAAAGTGGCTAGGAGATGCATGAAGAAAATTCATGTCATTTGCAGATTTGCATGGGTTTTGAAAATTTGATCAGGCAAAAGGTCTGAATTTTATTTATTTATTTTTAATTTATGGTAAGAGGGGGAAAATTTTTGTGTATCCTCGCTACTAATGCTCTTATTGTTTTTCAACATTGGAAATGGTGAACTTGAAAGATATGTTTGACATGAATGTGTTATCTTTATCCTGTTGGTTCTCTGATTGTCAATGGGTGAAGAGGACCACCTTTCTTGATTGGCAGCCTGTTTAAGACCTTAAACCGATTTCAATTTCATATGATTCCTAAAGATTCTAATTTTTTTTTTTTTTTTTCCTTTCCTTTCTTTTCTTTGATCAATCAACTCCTCATTGAAAATATGCAAATTTAAACTACTTTCTAAAGGAATTCTTTCCATGACAACTCATAAAATTTCTACTAATAATCTCTTCTACCACTAGGTGATATTGTAATTTCTGTATAGGATATGGGTTTAGCTAATGATTCTGTTACAAGTGGGTCCATTTGGTGTAATCAGCTAATGGGTTTGTTTATTGAGTTACTTAATGATTGGCATGATTGGCTCATGGATCTTCTTTTGTGCTTACTGGGCCTGATTTTTATTTGGCCAAGCTTCTTTTTGTAAATACGTTATACATCAATATATTTGCTTAACTTTCGGGACAAAAATGGGTTTGGAGTGGCTTGTAATCTGAATTACTTTCTGAGGTTTTAACTCTGAAATGGACAAGGTTTTGATCAGCATGCAGATACTAGAAGTTAACATTTGAAATCCCCGCAAAAGTGATTTTCACAACTTACAGCCTTTTAGCATAATATACATTCCATCAATTCCAAAAAATTCACTGTGTTAGTAGTTTCTCAACTTTCTCAGCCGTCAATTTTCTGTTTTACTTCATACTTTTTAAGGGTCTATTTGATAAATGCCTACCCAGGATTTGCTTCCAGTCTTTGCTTTCTAGTTGATTGGCTAAACTGTTGTTGTGGATGTTCTGTAGGTTTTTTGTTGTGCTTCTTGTAGCTTGCTTCTCATTTGTTATCATTGGTGGTTTCCTATTCTTCAAGTTCAGGTACTTGCTATTTTTATGTTGAAAAATGTTTGTTCTATAATTGTTACAATTTGTGTCAAAAGTGTACAGTGTTTTGTATTGCTTTTTTATAATTTAATGATGAAAAAAAATAAAATCAAACCACACTGTATTCTATTGTCCTTCCTTTGGCCCTTTATTTTGAATTTCATGTAAACCATAAGACAATAAGAAATCTTTGAAATATATTACACAATTGAAAATCTTTTATTACTGATGTTAAATAAAGAAAGAATAGTGTTCATCTCATTGTTCAAATACATTTTTCTTTTCATTATGTTATGGAAGTGATTGTTAAGTAATGAAAACTTTAATACTCCTTGCCTTAGTCATGGCTTGTGACGGAAAATCTTAGCCTCATTTGTGTGATTGGTCTCCTAAATATTTGCTTTAAGTTCTCTGTTCTTTATTTATGTATGTCTTCTTGGACAGAATATTTATTTGTTTTCTTTGGTTTTTATATCTCAAATTCATTGAGTAATATTTTAATTTTGAAATAAAATTAAATTCATTTCAAAATTAAGTTCCATTGCCGGATGCTTTCTCTTGTACTTTGCATTTAATCAGTTACTCTTGATAATTTTGAAGGGATCATTGAAATAGAGTTTACCACCTCATAGTTGCTTCTATAAGAGGGAGCATCACGAAATTTATCTCTGAGGACACTAAAAAATCATTTTTAAATATTTCTTGTTTTACTTTTGCTACCGTTTACTGGAAAGAATGGGTGGAATCAGAAGAGAAGGTAGAATGATAGACAAATGCAATTCATAGAAAGTTAGAATTGGCACTGATTGAAGATAAGACTTGGAAAAGTCAACTGTTAGATGTGGTAACCATTACTGAAGGCTCTAATATGTCAAATTGAGAGCGGTAAATTAGACCTAGAAGGGGATGTCAATAAGTCCTATGAATATTTACTTGAATTTTAACTAACTTTTGTGTTACCGTTGACTGTGGTTTGAATTCAGTTATTTAGTTCAAATTTTTTTTTTTTTTTTGGTTGTTGTTTAACCTTCATTCATTCAATCACATAAAACATAGAAAATAAGTACAAAGAGGATAGACACAAATTTTTAAGTGGAAATCCTAAACAGACCAGTGATGAACAATCAACTATAAGAGATAGTATAATCATGTTACCAGATTCTCAGCCTAGTTACATCTTGACACAGAGACACCACTCTCCACTCGAATCTCCAGTTTTTTTGCTTTGCCCACATATTTGCTCTTCACACACTGTTTCTCCATGGTTTGTTCGATCCTTCTGCTCTCTGTTTGATTGGTGAAGCACTCGTTGTTGATCCTTGTTATCGAACTCTAAATCAATTATATAAATATATAATCATGAAAAACCTAGATTGAGGAACAAGGGATTTTCTCCCTCCAATATACAGATTCTCTCTCTTCTCGCTTAGAGGCTCAAAGAAGCATACCCTAGACTAAGTATAACACCAAATTTATAGCCAATATAGGAGGCCCAAACTAAATAATATGTAGAATCATTCTAAAAGTCAAATTTAAGAGAGTTTCTAAAAATAAACTTCCGCAGGGTTCGATTGGTTGAGCCTTTGATCGACACCTACCAGAGGCTTCTCAAATGATCTAGCTTTCGATTGAGGCGTACTGGATTTCAAAACAACTTTTCTGGATAACTTTTGATCAATTCACCTATCAATCCAGGCTCTTTTTTTTTTTTTTTTTTTAGTTGGTACTCACACACACTTGTCTCTTCTGAGACTTGAACCTCTGACCTTCCTTTGGAAAGTAAGAGGCTGATACCGCTAGGCCACTGGCCCGTTGGTATCAATCCAGGCTTTTTGGATCAATGGATTGTGGCGAGCATCTGGAATAACTAGTCAATTACAACTCTATTCCGCAATCCGATACGTACTGTTTTCTCAATAAAGATTAATTTTTGAAATCCTTGAGAAATGTTTAAATCAGAACTCAGTTTTGCATAACTTTTAGATCAAAACTAGGTCAATTTAGAGGTCTTTATGGTTGCATTTACGTTTGCCCTAGATATGTGATTGAGCCATGTGAACTTTGCGCTGTGTTCTGCACAAATCTTCATCTCATGACCATCAATGGTTGTAGACCACCGACTTGAACACTTACTACAATGGTACAACCCATGTTTTGAGTAGGAAATTGCCAACACAGGACTTATATTCCTAGCACATCCAAAGTGGTTTAACCATGTGCAACATAGACATTAGTAACACACCAATAGCGGAGAAGTCATTTATATCAAATTGAATTGCAGAAAGGATGAAAGTGCATGCGTTGGCACTTTGGGTAGGGAAATTATTGCCTTAGGCTCAGAGTGGCAATTAGTTTAGTTAAATGCCTACAGGAGCATGTATATGCTAGACCGGAACCAATTGAAATTATATTTTAGGTTTTGAAGAAAAAAGAAAGAAGAAGACACAGAATGTAAGAAAGGGTTGTAGAATGATTCTGACATCTCTACACCCATGTATTTATGTTTGTCAAAAGTATAATTTACAATAATACCTCATGTGGTAAAATCCCACTAATTATGCTCACTACACGAATATTCTTACATATCCAACAGAGCCTAATCATTTTAATAAACGAGTTTAGGGTGTAATCCTAAGCCTGACAAATTAAATATCCTACAAACCCAAACCCAAACCCAAACCCAAACCCAATCCACTTAAATCTTTTTATTCCTATTACTTTATCTAGAAGTATAAATTTTTATATCTAAATTACTCATGATAGTTGATATTTAATATTAGTTATATATAATGACCTATAATAACATTATTAAATAGAAACGTCGTGTTATAACTATTTATTTGTGATAAAATAGAGAATTAATGATGGTTCCGTCTTGTAATAGCTTGATAACAATGTTGTTCTCTAATAGTTTAAGCTCTTGGGCAATTGGTAGTCCTATTGGGCCCAGTCAACCCAGTTCTGACCTGTATATGAGTGATGGGAAGGGCAGCCCAAATTGACATGTTGATTTGCAAATCGGTTGAAAAGCTCAACCTAAATCTTTAATGGGCATAGAAAATGATTGGTATTCCCTTAGATTTCATTGAGGATATAGATTTGAAAATCAAGGACTAGAGAAGACTGATCCTTGCAACCGACCCATAGTAGTTGGAATAAAGGCTTGTTGAGTTTGAATTGAGCTGATGCGTATTATAAATTTGTTTGTGAGGATCTTATATTCATCTGATACTTTTCTTAATTGACTCTTGCCACATTTGCTAATTTAAAGATGTCATTTGTGCAATAAAACAGGGGTGCGGGATCTCTGGAGGATTGCTTGTGGGAGGCGTGGGCATGCCTGATTTCATCATCTACTCATTTGAGAGTGTGATGCTGTTTTTGTGAATTCATACTGTTCACTAGATAAACTGTTACTATATTTATAAGAGTAAAGTAATGGGGAAGCAATAAACTGTTGTAACTACATAACTTTCTTTTTACTGAACTACAGCAAAAAACACGGGTTGAACGTGTCATTGGCTTTGTTCTTGCTATGTGGGGTATACTGTTTTACTCACGCCTATTGAGCACGATGACAGAACAGTTTAGAGTAAGCTTCTATAAGCAGTTACATTTACAACAGCTTACTTATGTATGCGTGGGATCCTCCTGACTAGCTTTTAAACAGAATAACATGCAAAAACTCAGAGAAGGAGCACAAATGCAAGTTCTGGAAACTGATCATATCATTATTTGTGGAGTAAATAGTCATCTGTCCTTCATATTAAAGCAGCTAAATAAGTATCACGAGTTTTCCATTCGCTTAGGTACCGCTACAACTAGGTAATTACTTCTTACTTATCCGTATATATTATGATAGCTACGGCATGAGATTTTGACTTCTATGATACTTTGCTTATATATATTTTCAGGAGGCAGAAAATTCTTATTTTGTCTGATCTTCCAAGGAAACAGATGGACAAGGTAGCTGACATTTTTGCAAAAGATCTTAATCATATTGACGTCCTTACAAAGAGGTAAATATATTGAATGAATACATTTCCTATATTAGCCCACTTTCCTTCTCTCTTTCGTTTTTCTTTTCTTTTCTTTTCCTTGGGATATTGCCAATGGTTTTTCTTATATTCTTTTAATGTAATCTCTTAGTTTTTTTTGTTTAGATGTGTTGGTTGCATAGGGGCTTCCAAGAAAGAGTCATTCTAGTGCCAAACATGTGTTGGTATTGGTATTATGCACACAACTATATCCACATCGAAGTTTGTTACGACAAACATAGCGAACCCAAGATAAAACCAAGAATCACGACAGAAAATAAACACACCACACACAAAGAACACAGAGATTTAGCGTGGTTTGGAAAAGCCTACATCCACGGGAGATCCGGCGAAAGTTTTCAACATGCGAATAATGGGAGATTACAAGTTTCAGCCCCTCACTCTCTTTCTCTGCGTTTTTCAGTGTCTAAATCTTTTTCCACTCCAAACCCTATGCACCCTTATATATCGGGTTACAAGAGAGTACTAATTAGGGTCCATGACCCACAAGCAAAAAACAGGTCAAAAAAATTTCCTTCAACAACTTCCTGAAATATTTCTACAGCTGGCTGGTTCCTCTGATTTCCACTTTGATATACATTCATTTGATGTTCTCTTTGTCTCCCAATGGTCGGATTAGGAGGGCAAATGACTCCAGATTGCTCTAACATTGTGCACAGCTGATTATTATTATTATTTATTTTTCCTGAATGGGATGGTTTTATAAGGAAAGAAACTAAAAGGGTACAAGTGATGGTGAAGGCATACCTTCACAAACAAAACAAGGAAATGAATAAGACCATCCAGTACAAAGCCAAGGCAAAAAGAAGGATCAGAAACAAGAAAAGAGAACTAAGAAAATACGTGCAGAAAGAAATAAAAGTAACCAGCAGCAACAAGGACCAAAACATCAGAAGATGAAATAGAAGTCTTGCAGCATGAGGCCCAACAGGTACATGCCACCACCTCCTTCACAGGAGCTTTTGATCCCTCATGTAATGCAGCTTTTCTCTGTTTCCAAATAGCCCATGTAGGAAAAATGCACTGCAAAAATTTAGATCTTTGAGTTTTAGTCCTAGTGTGCGAAAGGAACAACTGAATTAACTGGCTCAAGTTCTAGCAATGAGGAGCAGCAATATGCAACATATCAAACAGCAGATACCAAATAGATCTTGCATATTGACATAACAGAAAAACATGATCCTCCATAGCAGCAATGGTAAACAGCTGGGAGAGGCAGACCTTTGCCCTGCAGATTTACAAAGTTGGGAATGGCATTTTGTAGAACAAGAGCACATGTCAGAGCAGCCCTAGGCCTCCAAGCAATCCTATACCACTCTATCTTCTCACTATGCACCCTGCACTGATTCCAAACTGATTTGAAGCTAATACAACCATTCTTCCATTTAATCAAGTCTAGACCAGGATGCAAAAGTTAAGACGAGATGTAATCTTCAACACACCGAGTTCAGAAGTCAGGAAGAGACCACTGCCTGTCTTAAATAAAAGTTGAAATAGTGGTAACTGCATAATCTACCACCAAACTTCTGCTCCAATGTAAACCCTCACACCAAGGATCAGCAAGCAGATTAAAAGTTGAACCATCACCAATCTGGAAAGCACAATGATCCAACACAAAAGATCTCACCTAAAGCTTGTTAGTCCATGCTGCAGACTGATAAGGTTTTGGAATGCAGTTCCTAAAATTACTCCTCTGCAAATATCTATTTCCAAACCACTACTGACTACACCCACAACTTTTGCTCGTGATGAATGAAATCCCAAAGCTGCAAACACTTTCCTGATCCCAAAACCACCTTCTTTTTAGATTTAGAATGACCCCAGAGAAAACACCTGATCTTCATCTCAATCAATATCCTGCAACTCCAAGATATCTTGAGCAATAGTAGATGAAAGGCACATTCACAGTTTTAATAAGTTCAGTCCTACAAGCAAAGGACAGATTCAGAGTATTCCAATATGATAATCTATCAGAAATTTATCAATCAAAGGCCTAAAATCAGCTCTCTTCAACTTCTTATCAGAAAGAAGCAACCCCAAATGTGATTAATTTGCTATTGCAGGTTCTCCAAATCTTCTTTTGTAGCCAAATTACCAGCATTGTGCTTGAGATGTCTCCACATTCTCCTGGTTGTCCACTTGGTTGTTTCCTTGCCCAGCCATAGATCTGCAAAAAGGTCATAGATCTGAAGGAAAGGCTCTGGTACTACATGAAGCAAATAGATATGAACACAAGTCTTCTTACAGCAGTAAGAAAGACTAGGTTTACTCCAATCACTGTTGGATCCTAGATTTCTAAAGGGGAAGTTGGGAAGAGCCTGTAGAGAAGTTTAAAATCTATAATATCTCAAAAGTATATTGATAAAGACTTGGTTGCAGGAGATAAGAGGACTGTCCCTTTGATAAGACAACTGTTAGTGACACCTCGCTAAATCGGCATGTGATTGTGTTTGAATTTCTCTTCCCTTATCTCATTTAAATTGTGCTTATATTGATTATCTTGATATATTGCTTTTGCACAATTTATCTAGATATTGCTTAGACTTGTTAAATTCTAAATCCAAAAAATTGACTATTGTTTGCTATAGACTTTTTTTTTTTTTTTTTCCTAGTTTTTGCTATAGACTTTAGTCAACACCCCGCCCCCCCTCTAGAGTCAATACTAGGGTAACAAATACGTCTTAAAAGATTTCATTCATGATGTTGTCTGTGTTGCTACCAACATCTGGATAGAATCAACTGATATTAATACATATCAAGCAATGTACATTTATATTGGTCGATAGTCTGTGCTTTTATGCTGGGGAGGTTGGAATTTTATATCCCTTTATCTTTATGTCATTATTTATTTTAATTTTGTGGAATATTTTTTACTATTATTTAATATTTCAATGTTTTCTTTGCAAATAAAGATTTTTATACTATATGTTTGACTGAGGAGATACTGTTACTGGTTCCCAAGCAATGGAAGATATAAATTGTTGTTACATTAGATATAGCTCTTCAGACTTTCTTTTATTATAATAATTATTTTTTATATCCCTTATATTTTGAGCTTCTACTGTTACAGTTGCAGCCTGAGCTTAACAAAGTCATTTGAACGAGCTGCAGCCAATAAGGCACGTGCCATTATTATCTTGCCAACAAAGGGAGATCGGTGAGAATTTTATTTAGTTGAGATGAACATATTTCAAAGGTTATTTACACTATATTCTGTTGTTTGCTTTTTTCCCTTTCTGTGATTGAAGACTTTGGCCTTCAAGTTGTGGGCATCAACTAAAATAGTTGATAATAATGTTGAAGTTGATTCTTGTTTATACTTCAAGCTATTTATTTTCTGTTGGGATGATGGCAATCACTCCACGGTGTCACTAAGTATAAATTGAAGATTAATTGGTAGTACTAGTAGATGATTAGAGAAAAGTCATTACTACTTTAAATCATACTAGTAAAAACGTACGTGCATTGCATGTGAGTCACAATCAATGTAAAAAAAATTAAATACAATATTGAAGTTTATATTATATTTATAAATTATAAAATTAGAAATTTGATATCAAAATGAGAAGTTTTTTAATAATAATATTATATAAATTTATAGATATATTCTATTAATACGCTATATTGAATAAAAATTAAACTTAAATTTCAAATTTCATTATGTGAATATAATAAATAACGGCAAAGGTAAAATCAATAGAATCATACACAAATAGAATACAAAAGATAATTTTTTTTTAAAAAAAAAAAAAATTTAATTAATTAAAACCCTAAATTGGACAAAACCTATCAATAGACTACATGTCCTTAATCAAATTGATTAATTGGATCCCTTGCTCCACATATTAACTTATGTGCCCGATTTCATGCTTTTTCAAAACCAATAAATACCATTTAGACAGCAAAATAAAAATATAATGGCAAAGGTAAAATAAATAAAATAATACTCGAATACAATAAAAGAAAGATATATATATATATATATATATATATTTTATAATAAAAAGAACTTAATTAAAACTTATCAAAAAAAAAAAAAAAAAAGAACTTAATTAAAAACCATAAATTGGACAAACCCTTAGAACCTTTACGAAACACAGTTAATGACATACAATAAAATCAGTAGACAAATAACAACAATTGAACAAAATACAATGTAAGGTAAAAACAAAAAAAGACAAAATACAATGCTTAACATCATCATACAAACTTTATAATAATAATAATAATAATAAACTGTTTTTGTTCAGATTCTTTAGAAAAAAAATATATGGATAAAACTTAGGGGGAGAATAACAAAGGGAGAACAAACCGATTTGAGATTTGTGTTGGCCGGAGCTTCGTTTTTGGGAGAGAGAGTAGCTTTGAGTTTGAGCCCTAGGTGCTATTTTGATGCTTCCGTTTTTCTAACAGTCAAAAGAAAAATAGAATTGTGAAGAAGCATGAAATTATACGTTTGTAAGATTCCAAACAGATTTTTTTTTTTTTTTTGACAAGTAAAAAGTATATTAGAAAAGTGTTCAAAAGGGGAACACTTCCCTAATACAAAAATGAAAAAAGGACCCATGGACAAATAGCATCTAAAAGATCAAAGAAGTCATCAATCGAGGACCAGGCGCTTCCGCTTACATAATAGAAAAGAGAACGAAGAATATGAATTTTTAGATTTGTTAAAGATGATTCATTTCCTTCAAAATTTCTGTTATTCCTCTCTCGCCATAGGCACCACCAAACGCAATGTGAAATAATCCTCCAATAATCACGAGCATGACCTTTGACTGGGCATCGTCTCTATGCGTTAATCAGTTGTAAGGGGTGCTTAGGCATTACCCAAAAAACGCCAAACATGCTAAATATGAAGTTCCAACAATCGCACGCCACAGGATAGTGCATAAGAATGTGATCCACAGATTCTCCGTCTGCTTTACATAGACAACACCAGTTAACAATGGTGTTACCTCTCTTTGTCAAATTATCCAATGTCAAAATCTTTCCTAATGTGGCAGTCCAGACGAAGAATGCGATTCTAAGAGGACCTTTAGAGCGCCAAATAGACTTCTATGGGAAATCGTGACCAACGAAATTGGACAAACACAAGACCATGGATCGGACACCATACCTACTATGGGTTAAAGGGACCCACAAAATATCGTCACATCCTCTGCCAACATCCTTCTGTCTATACAACAGATCCAAAAAAACACATGCTTCCTCTATTTCCCAATCCTGAAAGGAGCGCCTAAAACGCACATCCCACGTAACTCTACTGCTATCAAGTTGATAACAGTCAATTACGTAGGCGTGCTTGTTGTCAGCAATACTGTAAAGTCTAGGAAAGGAGTGAGACAACAGCTGATCACCGCACCATAAGTCCTCCCAAAATCGAACATGCCTACCATCACGAACCTTGAATCTAATATGTGAGGAGAAAACATCCCAACCCTTCCGAATGAATTTCCACACACCAACTTCTCTCGTAGTAGAGACTGGACGGGAGGACCAGCCCCCACTCTCCTCTCCAAAACAAAATGAGACAACTCTTCTCCACTGGCAATGGCGTTCCTTACCAAATCTCCATAACCACTTTCCTAATAGAGCTTTATTAAAAGGGACTAGCTTTCGAATGCCTAAACCGCCTAATTTCAACTGTTTGCAAACTTGCTCCCAATTAACAAGATGATGCTTAAACTCCTCTCCTCTTCCACCCTATAGAAAATTGGATTTTTTCAATCCTTTCAGCAACAGAGCATGGATTTGAAACAAAGATAAAAAGTAGGTAGGAAGGGACGAGAGAGTACTCTTAATGAGAGTGACTTTTCCCCCCTTTGAAAGATACTGTTTTTTCCATCCTGCTAGTCTCTTCTCATATCTATTAATCACCGGGTCCCAGTTCCCCACTCTCGTAGAGGATACTCCCAAAGGCAATCGCAGATAAGGAATAGGAAAAACGCCCACTCCACACCCAAGAGCTGCAGCTAAGGAGGAAATATCTGGAATATCCCCCACTGGGACAAGCACACTCTTTTCAACATTGATCTTAAGTCCAGAAACCGCTTGGAAACAAGCAAGAATGCACCTCAGATATCTGAGTTGGGAGGCATTGGCATCACAAAAACCAAGGTGTCATCCGCGAACAACAAATGAGGGATTTGCATTTGATGTTCAACATCTCTGCCAACTCTGAATCCTTGATGTATCCCAAACCTTCCGCTTTTCTCATTAATCTACTCAATCCTTCCATGACAATAAGGAATAGAAAAGACGATAATGGGTCTCCTTGTCTCAAACCACGCGAATTAGCAAAAAAACCAGTAGGTGAACCGTTCACGAGCATAGAGAACATAACGGACGAGATACAAGTTTCTATCCATTTTTTCCATCTATCTCTGAACCCCATCCTCTGAAGCAAGTAAAGAAGAAACTTCCAATTAATGTGATCATAGGCTTTCTTGATGTCAAGCTTGCATAAAACGCTAGGAACCCCACTCTTCAATCTAAAATCAACACATTCCCCTGCGATAAGAACAGAGTCCAAGATCTGCCATCCTCTAACAAAAGCATTCTGTGATTCTAAAATAATTCCATCCAAAACATTACTCATCCTAAAGACAAGAACTTTGGCAATAAGCTTATACATGCATCCCACTAAGCTGATTGGCCGAAAGTCCTTAATATCAGAGGCGCCACCCTTCTTAAGAATAAGGGCAATAAAAGATGTGTTCAATGATTTCTCAAATGTGCCATGAGAATAAAAATCCTGAAAGGTGCCCATCACCTCAGTACGCACCACCTCCCAACTCTCCTTAAGAAACCGCATAGTAAACTTGTCTGGTCCTGGAGCTTTATCACCATTACAGCTTGATAGTGCCTTGAGCACTTCCTCTTCAGTGAAAGGAACCTCAATCCTATCACTATCCAGCGCAGAAATAGAATTAAATGGAAGACCATCAAGTGTAGGTCTCTATCCCAAAGTCTCAGTGTAAAGCTGCTGATAAAAAGAAACTATTCCCCCGCGCACCTCATCCTCTCTCCACAGCTCTAAACCATTCACACGAATACGCCCAATGTGATTACATCTTTTGTGAGCGTTGGCAAGTCTATGAAATAATTTTGTATTACGATCTCTTTCTTTTAACCACAATGCCCGAGATTTCTGACGCTATGAAATCTCCTCCATAACTGCAATCTCAGCAAAAATGCCTGGCAAGAGGATTTTTTAGAGCGTAAAGGCTCAAGATTCTGCCCCACCTTATCAAGACGATCAAGCTCAGCAATATTAGCAAGCACTCTATTCTTCTTCCATTCAAGATTCCTAAACACATAGCTAACACATAGCTAGCAGAGCCTATAAAAGTTGCTTCCTCCCACCAAGACAGGACTTTCCTGTGGAAATCCTCAGATCTCAACCACGTATTTTCAAAGCGGATAGGTGTGCGTCTAGATCTCATTCCTTTGCAATCTAGAACTAAGGGCACATGATCAGATGTTACTCTAACCAGAACAGCCTGAGAAACATCCGGGAAATGCGCTTCCCACTCCCCAGAAATCAGAAATCTATCCAGCCTTTAGAAAGTAACTGGATCCCTGTCATTAGACCCGAGTAAATGCTGCCCCTTCCAATGGTAGGTCAATGAGAAAGTGACTGTCAATGAATTCTGAAAACATGGTCATTTCGGAGGACCACCTACCCCCTGTGGACCTCTCAAACGGGGACCTAACGGATTTAAAATCCCCGCCTAAACACCAAGGCAATGACCACAATCCCTTAATGTAGCAAAGCTCTTCCCAAAAGGCTGGTCTGCCACTATCAATAACAGGTCCATAAACTCCTGAAAAAACCCACCTGAAACAATCATCCTCCATCTAAAACACACATGACAAAGAATAAATTCCTTTCCAAGTGTTCATACTTGATAACCACCTTCGATCCCACATGATAAGAATACCACCCGAAGTGCCGGAGGCGTTTAACGCTTCCCATTCCCCAAAGGCTCCTGACTACCTCGTCGGTGATAGAGGCCATCTTAGTTTCTTGCAAACATACAACATGGGCACTCCACTTCCTCACAACTACCTTGACCACTCTTCTTTTGTCTGGATCATTTAGACCACGGACATTCCACGTAATAATTCATAGCTTCATCAAGAACCAAAAAC